TGGTTTTATAGAATAGTTATGAGGAATTAGATTGATACAAACAATTATTGATGGGTTAAGACTGGGGATATCTGTATCATGTTTTGTGTGTACTACCATCTTTAGATTATAACCAGGAGAAAGAGATTAGCTCATCTCAGTTAGGCAGTATTAGGTCATAAAAGTGAGGCCTGGCTATTTGTGGTTGTTTTTCAAATTGGGTTTTTCAAACAAAAAACGACACACCTAGTATGATGTTTATAAGCCTTGTTGTTTCAATTTTGGGGGGTTTTCAGCAGGTCAAGGGTGATAGGTCTTAGAGGAGCACACACAGTGAATTTTATGTTCACTATGGGATGGAACAGTTTATTGAATAATTTCAATTGCCTCTGAACTCTGTTTTAACCTTCTGGTGTTAATTAATCATCCACACTAGTAAATTCTAAAGGCATGAGAGGAGGACTTTAAGATAGTTTATTTTACTAAGTTGAGGGTAATTTATAGTACTGTGAAAATTGTGAAGAAGATTATAATTTGGTAATAATATATTTGATTTGAACCATAAAATAACAGAAGAGAGAGTGGAGGAATGGCAATTGGATAATGAATTACCAATATTAACTAAAGTGATTGTTTAGGTAGGTGGTAATATTGACACATGGCCAAATCATGTGTCAAAAAGGGGGATGGTTGGATTAAATATTAAATATATACGATTAAATTAAATATTAAATATATACGAAGGAGAGGACAAAATACTTTTAAAAAATAAAAATAAACATGTATGATAGTTTATTAACCACACCTGTATGTCAGAGGTTTTGTGCCCCACAGGTGAACTAAAGGAGAAGGTGACCCACTCTATCTAACCAGGAGACTGAAGCAGGCCTGGCGGGAAGGGCCCTACCAAGTACTGCCTTTGCCAGCAGAATAGCTGAGAGATCCATCTGGGTGCATGTCACTCACTGCAAAAAGGTAAACCCAGCTACACCCGACGAACAAACACAGAGTTAGGAGAAAGAACCGATCACCACTAGGGCTCGGGGGTTGGCTCCTTAACGAAGATTCCCTTACCCTGTCTGATCATCCCTGTGTGAGTTCGATAGAAGGTGAAGCAATGGGTTGGCCTCTGGCGTCTGACATGTTCTCAGGGCGAGGGTGGGGATTCACAGGTCTCCCGACAGTAGGTAGCTGTCTGATTGTGGGGGCCATATTCCTAACACACACGGACCCTCCTGTTTCAGCCAGAAGTGGTAGTTAACCTAACACAAGTTGAAAAGGCATAGGAGACAGCTAGACGTAGGGAAAGGGGAAATACTAGGGACTTTAGGGAAGGACATCACCATATGTATGTCACCATGTACATCCTGGGACTATGTAGTTGCTTATACCAAGCGGGGGGGGGGGGGGGGGGTATGTCAATCTCCATACACAGTTTAGGGACAGGTGTAGTATTGTGAAAGTAGGGAATTATCAGAAATGGCAGTGCGACCCATATGAGGGTAGGTATTGTCTGAATTATGCTAAAACAGATTACAGACCTGACAAGTGAGATATCTTCTTCAACTGGGGCACCCTATAGAGTAAACCTCTCTGAGGGAGGTAGTGAGACAGTGCAAACTATAGACCTGAAGGAAGTAGTACAGATGGAGACGGAGTAAATAGATTTTAACCTGTGGTTGGAATGGATTCAGTATACGGTCTAAAGAGGACTGTTATGCCTGTAGGACAGCCAAACCAAGGTTGACAACTACTCCGTTCCCCTTGACAGGCTTTAACTCTCTGTCAGGTTTATCCTCCATGCAAGCCACCTGGGAATGTGGTGAAAGAGTCTTGTAGTAACTTGCACTATCTGTATCCCCCCATAACAAAGTCATCCCGACCTGGGTTGCCTCAGTTTGAAGTCACAGGGGATTCTTATTGTTTTTCTAGGACTAATAAGATAGGATACAGGGTAGGGCATCTTAGCTCCTGCTCCTACACAGAGAATATTACAACTAAAAGAGACCATGACTAATCTCTCTTCTTTGTTGCAGCCAGAGGATTTTAGGAACCAAAACCAGGCCCGTGCTGACATCTGATGGTTGTGTGGTGATAACTGATTGTGAACTCACCTACATATGTAAACAGAGACTGGTGAGTTGTCACATAGAAAGTAGGACCTCCTCCCGGGATCCTTTGATGAAAGGATATATATATTGATGGGATCCACAATCAGATCGCAGCTGGGTTTGAATCAAGTATTTTCTGGTGGTCAACAATTAATAAGAATGTAGATTGGATAAATTATATTTAATATAACCAGCAAAAGATTTATAAACCACACTCGTGATGCAATAAAGGGATTAGCTGAGCAGACAGCGGCAACTAGCTTAATGACATGGCAGAATAGAATAGCTTTAGATATGCTTTTGGCTGAGCGGGACGGGGTTTGTGTTCTGTTTGGATATATGTGCTGTACTTTCATCTCCAACAGCAGGCATGGTTCCTTTGTGAATGCTGAATAAATGCAATTTAACCTGTGAAAACACTCCCACTTGCTGGCCAAAAGATTTTCTCTTGGAGTGTTCATTCAATAGGGTTTTCAGCAGAGGAGGCTGGTGGGAGGATCTAAAAGAGGACAAGCTCATTGTAATGGCTGGAATAGAATCAATGGAACGGTATCAAAGACATCAAACATATGGAAACCGCAAGTTTGACTCCTTTCAATTTATTCAATTCCAGCCATTACAATGAACCTGTCCTCCTATAGCTCCTCCCACCAGCCTCCACTGGTTTTCAGTACATCTATCTTAAGCCATCCCTTTAAATACAGTGTACCTTTAATTAGAGTTTTGGCAACAGACTAGAATACATGGAGAAGGGGTTCAGAAAATAGGGATCAATTAAAGAATGCCATCTATTCATCTTTGTCTCCGTTTCAGCACCAACTGGTAGATAATAAAATACTCTGATCTTGTAGATTATTTAGGCACATTTTAGGGTTGGGAAAGTATGTTGTATGAATCTTTAAAAAATTAAAACTGGTTTGGAGAGTTTTTAAGCACAAAATATATTGATGAACAAAAAATACAGTGGTTGGTTCATCCTATTCAAGTTCAATCCATTAAATATTGGAAGGTGGAAAAACGTGTACAATAGGGTTTAAACAATAGCCCTATAAATCTACCCCAATTCTCACTAATCATGGAACTGTATGACAACTGTCCAGTTGTCGTGAACCGTGCGCCAGGCTCCAGGTTTAACCTGCTATGTGTGGTCTGAGTTCCATAATGATTCAAATAGGCTAGATATCGCAAATTATTGCATAACGTTAGCCAAATATGATCAACTAATGCGACCCTCAGAAACAACGTACACGGACGTGACAGAGGAAAGAAAGGTGAACAGAATGGAATGATGCAAAATGTTAGCGACAATTTAAAAAAAAACTAACACTAAAGTGACAGTTATAAATGTATGTGGGTATTACTGACGGTGGCTCCCGATAGCGGCTAATATTTTACATCATAATTGTAAAATAAAAAGGAGAAAAGCCCCGGCATAGGCTATAATTAAACATTCTAAAGTGGAAGGTTCAGCCCTACTGAAGCCTATAACTAGGTTGTCCAAATTTCATCCTCGCAAATTATGAGGGCACACAATTAAAATTCTGAATAACTGCACAGCTATTTATAGCCCCTATTTCACTGTGGAAAAGGGGCCGCAATATATATCATGTTGATATGATTTTTAGTTTGCTTCCATATGACTGGTTTCACATTCGTCTCCAGAGATTATAGGGAAAAGTTATCTAAAACAATTGTGTATTTACAATCCCTTTCTCCAAACGGATTACTCATTTACCTAGCTCTTATCAATAGATATTATCCATTTATAAATTACAGTGCATGGAGAATGCTGTTATTTCTATCGTTAAAAAGAAAGTAGATGCTTTCCCCACTTTTACACTGGTTTACAGTCCATCTATCAACATGTCTGTAAACAATTGTTGTAGTGACATCATAAACATTCTATTGTCGTTTTTAAAAAGTATAAACACAAAATGACAGCCTCTGCATTACATCAGCAGCCCGGTGATACAAATAGCATACATTCTCTATTTTAACATCAATAAACCCATCCATTTAAAAATTTATTCAGTAAATGTCAACGTAGCAAGCCAGGCAACTAACAGCAATTTTCTAAACAATGTTTTGGTCCGTTGCTACTAGCTTGCTAGCCAGTTCAAATAATGACCAGAGTATAGCTGACAACATCTTAACATTAGCTACTTTTTATTAATTATTAAAGGAAAATAAACAACATCATAATTTACACGGAGAGCTTACAGAAAATAGCTTACTGTCACAGTGTGACGAAATAAAAGTAGGTCATTCTATATAAGAATTGTATAACTCCTGTATTATCTTGTCACAGGAGGATTTGGTCTGGCTGCTGTGGAAGTCTGGTAACCACTACAATGGACGTTGCCACAGTCCCAGAGACTCAAAGTCAAACTTTGTTCATGTCTGACATTTGCAGTGACGGTCTACAGACATTCCACCGGAGTATAAATTAAATGTTGTTTTTACCAGCGATACTTGTCACATTCTAATTATCTACAGACGAAGTATAAACTGGCCTTTACATTTGGTGGTGGTTCGCAGGCCTGCGCAGCTGTTGGCTTTGTATACTTTTTTTGTGTATTTGGTCTGGAACGCACCCATCAGCTCGTGTCTTCTTTATGAAGATCTTTGCTGCCACCTACTGGGCTGGAAACTATATATTTTTTTCAACATTTGAGAAAGTAAGATATGAAAGGCAAATTATGATATTATAAAATGTAATATGTATTGAATGCATCGTGGTAAAAATGAGTAAATAAATAAATAAAATGGAAGCAAAGGTTACAGGTGATGTCAGATCGACTTTTCCGGTATACTTCCGGTATTGATTGAACACATGCCGCTGTAGCAGAGTAGTGCTTGCTGTCTGACTCTTGCTCCGTTACATTTTTTCATAATATCTTGATTTATAATATGGCTTTTGACCTGTCCTCAGCCAGTGCATCTGCAAATGCTGAGGCCTCGGAACTTCAGAGGATGATAGCAGTCGAGCAACAGAAAGCTCAGTTTCAAGCACAGGTAGCTAATGTAACTAGCTAAGTTAGCTAGCTATTTTAAAGTGATAGCAAAGACAGTACAGTATGAAGATAGGCTAAAACTGCTTTTCCAATAGAAATCGCCGATCACAGTTGTAGGTGACGTTGGCTAGCTAAACTGATGCGTAGAAATACGAAATTGGGGAGAAAAAGGGGTTAAAAAAATAAGATGTGCGTGTATATATATATATATATATATATATATATATATATGTGTGTGTGTACGTAATGGGGTGTAACGTCGTCTCGCGCCGAACTGCGCATGTGCAGGCCGTCAAATCAAAGGCACTCCTTTGATATAAAGTAGTTTTTTACGAAAATGAAAACATGTCAGGTTGGAGTAATAACATGTTGAACTACGTAAGACATTGGCTCGAATCTAGGTTGTGCCTTTAGATTTCGAGAAAATGAAAAACTAAGGAATAATTGACTTCTCAAACCCCGGTCTGGTCTGGTCTGTTTCTCAAGCGTTGCCGGAAGTCTCGCGATGTTGCGCCTCTGGGTTTAGAAACTGGGGATCGCTAGCAAGTTAACTCCCCAAATACATTTCCCTATTGTTTTCTGGACTTAAAAGTTGTTGAAAGTCAGATCATTCAGTTATGTCTCAATATCAAATAAAGGGAAAGACGATTCCTCTATCCAGTCTATTTCCAATTGTGCAACTGAAATTATGTTGAAATGTTATTTTCTCTCAAGGTTTTAGGGTATTCCTTTACTATTAGACAGTATAATCAAAAATAGCTATTTGCAGGTGAACTATTGCATAATCCCTTTAAAGACATTTGACTTATATCTTGTGTTGTGTTTATGGCGTTTTTTTCTTTCTTGTAGGTGCACACCTTCACCGACGTGTGCTGGGACAAATGCATGGACAAGCCGAGCAGCAAGCTGGACTCCCGGACGGAGACATGCCTGGCTAGCTGTGTAGAGCGCTTCATTGACACCACCCTCACCATCACAAACCGCTTTACTCATATGGCGCAGAAAGGGGGCATGCATTGACTCAACTCAACACTCAACAGGGACAAGATGAAGAAAGGGGTTATGCATTGATTCATTCAGTCATTGAGCCAGACTTTCATCATAGTAGGCTTGTTAGATTTAACTCAACACTTCTGGGACAAGATCAAAGGACCTGTGCAACGATTATCATCCAGAAATGGTGTGTTCTCTTGGACTCTGTGCTATTGACAACAATTGTCCAATGACTATGCTGATCTATTTTAATTTGTATTATGTTATTTGGCAGGGACAAAGCACAACAAAAACATATTTCTCGTAGCACTGAGAAATGATGTTGCACCAGATTTAGCTAAAAGCTACTTTCCATCTGTAGTCCCCGGGCAGGTGAACATGTAAACATTATATACAAAACAGACAACATAAATACATCAGACATAAAAAAAACAGAGATTAGGACATAGATACATTTTTAACACAGAAGTCAACACATTGCCCATAGAAACACATTGCTGTTGGATAAAAAGTGTAATCTGTAATGATGCAGGCCTATTGACTTTGTACATCACGTTGTTACAGAGTTCTAATGTGAGATCTGTAATGGTATTCATTGCTCTGCTTTGAACATGTCAATAAAAGGAATAGCCTAATGAGCAAATAGCCAGATGGGAAAATTCTTTATTTTAAGGCAGACACTGATGTGTAGCCTATACATCACTCCTCTCTGTGAATTATAGGGCGAGCACGTTTTGCATCGCCCAGTCCCCTGGCTGTTGCCTGGGTGAGAGGAGTAAGCACTTGACTTGCAATTTCAAATCAAGTTTTATTTGTCATGTGCCGAATACAACAGGTGTAGACCTTACAGTGAAATGCTTACTTACAAGCCCTTAACCAACAATGCAGTTTTAAGAAAGAATACCCAAAAAATAAAATAAAATAAAAGTAACATAATTAAAGAGCAGCAGTAAAATAACAATAGTAAAATAACAATAGCGAGGCTATATACAGGGGGTACCGGCACAGAGTCAATGTGCGGGGGCACCGGTTAGTCGAGGTAATTGAGGTAATATGTACATGTAGGTAGAGTTATTAAAGTGACTATGCATAGATGATAAACAGAGAGTAGCAGCAGCGTAAAATATTAGATGTTCAGGAGTCTTATGGCTTGGGGGTGGAAGCTGTTTAGAAGGCTCTTGGACCTAGACTTGGCGCTCGGGTACTGCTTGCCGTGTGGTAGCAGATAGAACAGTCTATGACTAGGGTAGCTGGAGTCTTTGACAATTTTTAGGGCTTTCCTCTGACACCGCCTGGTATAGAGGTCCTGGATGGCAGGAAGCTTGGCCCCAGTGATGTAATGGGCCGTACGCACTACCCTCTGTAGTGCCTTGCGGTCGGAGGCCGAGCAGTTGCCATACCAGGCAGTGATGCAACCAGTCAGGATGCTCTCGATGGTGCAGCTGTAGAACCTTTTGAGGATCTGAGGACCCATGCCAAATCTTTTCAGTCTCCTGAGGGGGAATAGGTTTTGTCGTGCCCTCTTCACGACTGTCTTGGTGTGCTTGGACCATGTTAGTTTGTTGGTGATGTGGACACCAAGGAACTTGAAGCTCTCAACCTGCTCCACTACAGCCCTGTCAATGAGAATGGGGGCGTGCTCGGTCCTCTTCTTTTTCCTGTAGTCCACAATCATCTCCTTTGTCTTGAGCACTTGAGGGAGATGATGTTGTCCTGGGACCACACTGCCAGGTCTCTGACCTCCTCCCTATACGCTGTCTTGTCTTTGTCGGTGATCACTGTTGTGTCATCGGCAAACTTAATGATGGTGTTGGAGTCGTGCCTGGCCATGCAGTCATGAGTGAACAGGAGGGGACTGAGCACGCACCCCTGAGGGGCCCCCGTGTTGAGGATCAGCGTGGCGGATGTGTTGTTACCTACCCTTACCACCTGCGGCCTGTCAGGAAGTCCAGGATCCAGTTGCAGAGGGAAGTGTTTAGTCTCAGGGTCCTTAGCTTGGTGATGAGCTTTGAGGGCACTATGGTGTTGAACGCTGAGCTGTAGTCAATGAATAGCATTCTCACATAGGTGTTCCTTTTGTCCAGGTGTGAAAGGGCAGTGTGGAGTGCAATAGAGATTGCATAATCTGTGGATCTGTTGGGTCGGTATGCAAATTGGAGTGGGTCTAGGGTTTCTGGGATAATGGTGTTGATGTGAGCCATGACCAGCCTTTCAAAGCACTTCATGGCTACAGACGTGAGTGCTACGGGTCGGTAGTCATTTAGTCAGGTTACCTTAGTGTTCTTGGGAAAGGGACTATGGTGGTCTGCTTGAAACATGTTGGTATTACAGACTCAGACAGGGAGAGGTTGAAAATGTCAGTGAAGACACTTGCCAGTTGGTCAGCGCATGCTCGGAGTACACGTCCTGGTTATCCATCTGGCCCTGCAGTCTTGTGAATGTTGACCTGTTTAAAGGTCTTACTCACATCGACTATGGAGAGCGTGATCACACAGTCGTCCGGAACAGCTGATCCTCTCATGCATGTTTCAGTGTTACTTGCCTCGACGCGAGCATAGAAGTAATTTAGCTCGTCTGGTAGGCTCGTGTCACTGGGCAGCTCGTGGCTGTGCTTCCCTTTGTAATCTGTAATAGTTTGCAAGACCCTTCCACATCCGACGAGCGTCGGAGCTGGTGTAGTACGATTCGATCTTAGTCCTGTATTGACGCTTTGCCTGTTTGATGGTTCGTCTGAGGACATAGCGGGATTTCTTATAAGCTTCCGGGTTAGAGTCCCGCTCCTTCAAAGCGGAAGCTCTACCCTTTAGCTCAGTTCGGATGTTGTCTGTAATCCATGGCTTCTGGTTGGGGTATGTACGTACAGTCACTGTGGGGACGACGTCATCGATGCACTTATTGATGAAGCCAGTGACTGATGTGGTGTACTCCTCAATGCCATCGGAAGAATCCCGGAACATATTCCAGTCTGTGCTAGCAAAACAGTCCTGTAGCTTAGCATCTGCTTCATCTGACCAATTTTTTATTGACAGAGTCGCTGGTGCTTCCTGCTTTAGTTTTTGCTTGTAAGCAGGAATCAGGGGGATAGAATTATGGTCAGATTTGCCAAATGGAGGGCGAGGGAGAGCTTTGTACGCGTCTCTGTGTGTGGAGTAAAGGTGGTCTAGAGTTTTTTTCCCTCTGGTTGCACGTTTAACATGCTGGTGGAAATGAGGTAAAACGGATTAAAGTTTCCCTGCATTAAATTCCCCGGCCACTAGGAGCGCCACCTCCTGTTTGCTTATGGCCGAATACAGCTCATTGAGTGCGGTCTTAGTGCCAGCATCGGTTTGTTGTGGTAAATAGACAGCTACAAAGAATATAGATGAAAACTCTCTTGGTAGATAGTGTGGTCTACAGCTCATCATGAGATACCCTACCTCAGGCGAGCAAAACCTTGAGACTTCCTTAGATATCGTGCACCAGCTGTTGTTTACAAATAGCGATATGGGCGACGCACTGCCAAACGGGAAAAGGAAGGGATTTTTTTTCTAATCAATTATATCACGGCAACAGTAGTTATCAGTGTTGTAATCTGATCTGACTGCCACTAAATGTCAAATCAGGCTAAAGTCGTGCTTCAAATGGCCCCGCCCGTTTTTGGGCGATTTCAGTCAGGTTGAAAATCGCCCAGAAGTCTCTCATAGCCTGTCATGTAAAATCTATTTTTTTCAAATTTCAAAGCTTTCAATACATTCTCTATGGGTGTCTGTGGGCTTGCACTTACGCGCTTTCGTCATACGTGACGTAACCATGAATGTAACTAAGCAAATAGCGGCTAGCAGCGTCTCTTTGCGACCTGCAGTGTGGCGTTATTTTATGTTTTTAATTTGTACACTTAGTGGCGTTATTTTATGTTTTTAATTTGTACACTTAGTTTACAAACATTCTGCCAACCATGGATTTCGAGTGGTGGGTTTTGGACTGATCTTGTTGATCGTGTACATACCCGCTACGAACGGACTAAATAATGAAAACGTTGCTGGCAGCGGAATCCAATACAGCTGGGAGACTTGGCTGGATGACAGAGTCCCGGACAGAGAAGTGGAGCCGGCCGGCTTCACCCTGGTCGGAGCGGACCTCGATCTGACAGTCACAGGGAAAATCGATCCTGGTAAGAGAGCGACTCTGTACCCCCGAGCCCCGACATTGAACTGCTTTCTGTGTCACTGTGACCTTACTATCTGCCCCGTGAGTTCCCCCAATTGTTTGTTACCGTTGTGTACTGTTGATAATCACAAGTTTACTGGAGAACTGAGACCAAGTAGAGACTTTGGACAGGGTGGATATGGTATAATAAAGGCAGTTTATTCAGAGGTAAAGATATCTGGAATCGCGTGCACGGACTCGTTCGTCAAACTCTTAGGGAGCTATCTGAAGAGAGCCCCGAAAACATTGTGTGCTGACATTTTATACAATAAATGATGTAGGTTGAATCTAGTAGTTCTGATCTTCTGATTGGTCCTGATGAGTTGGGCGAGGTCCCCTCCACTGTTGCATTGGCTCTGAGTCGGGTTCTCTGTCTTCAAATGTTCAGCCTAAAGAGAGGGGATTTTTGTGTGTGTGTGTGTGTGTGTTTAACAGTGATGATGTGTGTGTGTGTGTGTGTTATCAGTGATGATGTGTGTGTGTGTGTGTGTGTGTGTGTCCTCAGAGCAAGAACTCGTGAGTTGGAAGAACTGAGAGACCTATGGCGTGGGTGTTGTCCTTGGCCACCTGCTGACAAGGCTGACAAGATAGGACTCTTTTGTCCATTGTTATAGGATAGGAACAGCATTGATTGAAAACAAACGCCCAACACAAAATGGGTCATGCACAAGATCTTAGTCAGACCAAGCTATAACATTATATATTTACTACGACAGTACATTCAACCAAAAGCTAATATAACAAAGGCATCAGAGATTATTTATAATCTGTCACAGAAACTGGAATCCATCTCCCCAGATCAGCATAGACCGCCACCCCTGGTCTTACCAGAGGCTGCTGTTCTATCCTGCCGATAGTGTATAACCCGCCCTCTCAAAATTGACGACGAGGCTGGCTAGGAGGGGTGGAGTCAAAAATAACAAAACTAATGTGTTGAGACAAACTTCTGATCATTGATTAACAGTGGCGTGTATTCATGGGTGCCAAGGGAAGCCAGGCTTCCCCAGAAAATGTACAAAGAAAAAAACATATAAAATATATATTTAGTCTCTCTGTGTTTCATAATTTTGCTTCAATTCGCAAGAGGCTGAATGTATCTCACCGGAGAAAGCATGTGTAGGCCATCTATCTGATGCTGTCTGGTCAAAAAGAGTATGACATTGTTGCCACCCGTAGCATTGAATGCAAGAAAAGCCAGCGAGCATTTGGCCTCCCTTGATAATTAAAAATAATAATAATAATTGGCAATCAGTGTTAAGCTAAACTGAGTGAGCTCAACTGTGAATGGTCCTGGCGCACCAACAAACAAAAAAAATGTCAAGGGAAGCCAGTTTGGATTTGGCTTCACTCCAAACACATCACATCAACATCAAATATGTCATTGATAGAAACAACTTGAATTGTTGCATCTCGTTGTGTTGTTGTCCTCCGGTGGCTAGTTAGCTAAAATTGGCCCTTTCCTAAATTAGCCATGAATGGAGGTAGGGATTTGTGGTTTTACTTAATTCTCCGTACTGGCCAGTGATTATAACGGCGATTCTGATCCCACCATAAATTCATACATTGTGCCCCCGGCCTGAATGGATGGAAGTTCAATATTTAGCCAGATGTAGAAGGCTAATGTTAACTAGCTAACGTTGCCCATGAAAGGAAGTTAGGCTAGCGAGGTAGCCTAGGACAACAAAAAATAAAAGTGTGTACTGTATGACAGTCATAGACCGTTTCGTCAACATGAAAGAGAGGAGGATGGCATTGGCGTTTCTGTACAAGTAGGGTGAGTCAACATGTTTTTTTCTACTTGCACGAATGCACACACACACATCAGAACCATGGACAGCCACATCATATTTAGCTTAAGTTGATTGGACTAAATTGTTTTCGGTATCTTTTAGTTGTCACTGTATTAGACTAAGCATAGGTGATTTGATGTTGTTGAAATGGAGCTGGAATAGTGGAGGCAGCTCCTGTTTTCTTTGCTACTTGCGGTAACTCTCTGCGGTTCTAAATCAATAGTTTAGTTAACATTAACTTGCTTGACCGTGCTGTAGGTCATGTAACTGTGCGCCCATGATGATTTTGCGCCCATGATGATTTTGTGATGACAAAGAAAACTAGGGAATGGTCAACATGTTCTTCAAGTACTTCTAGCCCCTATAATCTAAAGGGTGATGACAGGTTTGAATGAAATAATAACTGAGGGAGAACATGGTTGAGTAGGCCCTTTTTTCATGGTGATTTAAAAGGACAGAATTTGTGTATGTATTGTGCAATACATTTCACTAACTTATGATCATTCCCTCAACCAATTGCATTTTTCTATTCAAGAAATGTTAGGCCTACATGAAAATCTATACTTGCAGCAGTGGTATGATATTTTTTTTCCTTACAATTTTTTGTTGTTGGAACAATTACGTAGTTGCTTGAAGAATAAATAGGCTTATAGGCTACATGCATGACATGCCGAGGGGTATGTGTGTGTCACTTTAAGAACTTGAATGGAAAGTAAAAGAAGGGTTTGTAAACATACTGGAGAATCAAAAGTGAAAGAAAAGTGATCCTATGTGTCGAAATAGCTTCACCTGTATATTTGGCTATACAGTACTTCCAACAGGTTCGTATAACGTTTAGAATGTATTTGACTGTGTATTTGGCATTGTCAATTGGTTATTTTATTAGGATATGATTACGTGATATATTTGGTCCGCCATAAGGCTACCTTTTGCCCTTGGACTAAAGAAATATAACTTCCACAGATACCGACTCATTTGCATTGACTATGGAACTACAAGAGATCACTTTTTCTGGCTGGACTGCGATTCAGGAGAAGAAGCTCCATGAAGGCGAGAATCCCAAACAAGAGAACGTTTACACCATGTACCATGGCACGTATCTCAAGTTTGCCCAGAGTATCATCACCGGTGGGTTCCAGCGCTCCAGCGGTGGAATGTTGGGACCGGGGGTCTACGTGAGCCGCAATATCGATAAGGCAAAGTGTTACCCGCTGAATGCTGACAAAAAGGACGCGATAGTGTTAAAGTTAAAGGTGCGGGTTGGCAAGGTGAAGAAGATCGACATTGATAACCATCCGCTTCAGAAGACATGGCACCAGAACGGTTACGACAGTTGCTGGGTGCCACCAAACTGTGGCATGACCGCTATTAAATCTGGCCGTGAAGAGGATTGCGTCTGGGATCCGGCCCGGATTGTGGTGGTGGATGTGGCCTGCTGTCTGGACGATAAAACGCGCTGGGACCTCCGAAAGCAAATACGCGGAATGAAGAGCCATGGCGCAAAGAACGGGTGCAGCCAGTGCCACGAGAATACCTCAACCACTGCGTCTCACCCTATCCAAAGATGCTGGGCCTGCATCGAACAGATTTGCCCCTTTCAGAATAAGCATGTGTGCAAACAACTTACACACAACTAGTCCTACTTTGCGTGGCCTGTCTCGCTTTTTGACATATCACCCAAAATCTGGCCCATCACCTTGTATTCCATATCAAATTAAGCTTGTTTTAACGTGTTGTCGATGTCATAAAATGTGTTCTTGTATTTTTTGTAACCATTGCAGCCTAATCGTATTGGGATCCCATTGATTAGACAAATGAAGCAATATATAGGGCCAACATGGAATAAAATACTTTACATAATTTGACATAAAGAGTTTACATTGGTGATGAAGTTTTTGTCGTAGCCTATTCTTTTGCATGTGATATACGGTATAGCCTATGCTTAAAAAAACAAAAAAAATAGGAGCCAGCCTAGTCTACTACGTTTACTGATAGGCTGCAGTAATATCAAACGAGCAAAATGTGTAATATTTGACAAGGAGACAGCTGTTTCTCATGCTGCGTTCACGTGCTTGTTAGAACTAGGAAACTCGGTAATGTCCGAATCGATGAACGGGGCACTTGAATAACTGTAACCAGTTAGCAAGTCGGAAATTTCAGAGTGTCCTATTTCCGATTAGCACATGAACGCGGTATCAGTCAGTGGACACGCGTGTATTTACAGTCTTGTCAAGCTTCTCCGCTTCTTCTCCGCCTGAAGACCAATGGACAGGACATCAACTTCATGGGTCATCATGACGAGGTGCCGGGAGATATGCGCGTTAACCTGCAAGTCGGAACTAGGAAACTCAGAAATGTCCGATTTGCTGACTAACCGATTGAACGCGGCACGTGTATAACTACAACCAGTTAGCAAGTAGGACATTTTCAAAGTTTCCCAGTTATGACTAGCACGTGAACGCGGCAATATCCAGGTGCAATAGCCAGGTGCAGAGTCATACAGTGTGTATGTACCTAGCCACCTACCTAGCCACCTAGCCATAGCTAGGTATATATATATAACCAGAGCTAGATAGAGCTATATATATATATATATATATATATATATATATATATATATATATATATATATATATATATATATATATATATATATCTAGCTCTATCTAGCTCTGGTTATATATATACCTAGCTATGGCTAGGTGCCCCATCACCACAGTAGGTGGCGGTACTTACTGTAAACGTCATGGACACCTATTTCTGAGATTAGAGCAAGATGGCTCCATGGGAAGCAGGAAGTAAATACATGTCATTGAAGAGATTAAAGCGAAGAGACTCAACAGAGCCTCGAGAAGAAGGTAAATTATGAGAATTTCATCACGTTTGGGGTAAGTTCTTATGTCCTATATTGTTTTACAGTGGAACTATTATATGTTAAAAGGCAAAGCTTCATGAAAAAAACGCTATAGGTTGTCTTGTTGCACTGATTTTTTCTATAAACAACCAAAACCACTGTTGAGTAGCTTAATTTATGTGTTTGATTGATTTTAAAATATGATATTTGCTTGAGGTTAGCCCTGCTGCTGTGACAAACCTAGTTTGCCCATGGTAGAGCTGTCCTTCAGCACCACGAAGTTTGCCCTGACTACCATAGACAAGGGTTTGGGTTAATCCCTTGCAGATCAGCAGAGCTGTCCTTTCAGCACAACACAGACACTCTCGGGGCTAGTTTGCAGGCTAGTGGCCAGTCCTCAAAAAGGGATTTAGTTTTTGAGATACCCTTACGTGGGGAATAACAAAGCAAAATCATTTATGAAATGGAGGGTTGTGTACAAATATTTTACTGCAAAAGTTTTAAAATGTATAGATATTGTGAAAAAAATGTTTTATAGCCAATCAGTGTTGAGCTAAACTGATTGAGCTCAACTGTGAATGGTCCCAGCGCACCCCCCAAAAAAGTCAAGGAAAGCCAGTTTGGATTTGGCTTCACTCCAAACACATCACATCAACATCAAATATGTCATTGATAGAAACAACTTGAATTGTTGAATCTCATTGTGTTGTTATCCTCCGGTGGCTAGCTAGCTAGCTAAAATTGGCCCTTCCCTAAATTAGCCATGAATGGAGGTAGGGATTTGTGGTTTTACTTAATTCTCCGTACTGGCCAGTGATTATAACTGCGATTCTGATCCCGCCATAAATTCATACATTGTGCCCCCGGCCTGAATGGATGGAAGTTCAATATTTAGCCAGATGTAGAAGGCTAATGTTTACTAGCTAATGTTGCCCATGAAAGGAAGTTAGGCTAGCGAGGTAGCCTAGGACAACAAAAAATAAAAGTGTGTACTGTATGACAGTCATAGACCGTTTCGTCAACATGAAAGAGAGGAGGATGGCATTGGCATTTCTGTACAAGTAGGGTGAGTCAACATGTTTTTTCTACTTGCACGAATGCACACACTCACATCAGAACCATGGACAGCCACATCATATTTAGCTTAAGTTGATTGGACTAAATTGTTTTCGGTATCTTTTAGTTGTCACTGTATTAGACTAAGCATAGTTGATTTGATGTTGTTGAAATGGAGCTGGAATAGTGGAGGCAGCTCCTGTTTTCTTTGCGACTTGCGGTAACTCTCTGCGGTTCTAAATCAATAGTTTAGTAGTCCGAAAATGTCGGAAACATTAACTTGCTTGACCGTGCTGTAGGTCATGTAACTGTTTGTTACATGTAATATGCTTTGTGGACTTTCCCCGGACAGAGGTTGCTTTCTGGATTTGTGATGAAACAAAGGTGTGGATTCATTTATTCTGCCACTGTCTTCTTATCACGGTCACAAGGCATATGAACTAATGGTTATAGAGTAAACAACACAATTATCAGTACACATAGGTTGTAATATGGCTTTTTTTTCTGGCTTGGCTTCCCCAGTGATTTTACCAACGCACCGCTACTGTTGATTAACAAACATTTCAACAGCCATTTACATCATTTTTTTTTTTTTGTCATTTAGCAGACGCTCTTATCCAGAGTGACTTACAGTTAGTGTGTGCATACATTTTTCATACATCAAAGGCAAATGGAACAGTGTCATGTTGCTGTCTGTCATTAGTTACAGAAATGATTCTTGCCCTTTTAAGCTGACATTTCTGTCATGTTTTAGTTAGTGACGACATTCATCGCCCCCGGCTCTAAAGTACTCAATAACAGCAGCAAACTCCACCTTCGCCGCCTACGCAGTTCAGAGTCCACAGGGGGTGCAAAACGAGTGCGCCCATGATGATTTTGTGCCCATGATGATTTTGTGATGACAAAGAAAACTAGGGAATGGTCAACATGTCCTTCAAGTACTTCTAGTCCCTATAATCTAAAGGGTGATGACAGGTTTGAATGAAATAATAACTGAGGGAGAACATGGTTGAGTAGGCCCTTTTTTCATGGTAATTTAAAAGGACAGAAGTTGTGTATGTATTGTGCAATACATTTCACTAGCTTATGATCATTCCCCCAACAAATTACAGTTTTCTATTCAAGAAATGTTAGGCCTACATGAAAAACTATACTTGCAGTAGTGGTATGATATTTTTTTCCCTTACATTTTTTTGTTGTTGGAACAATTACGTAGTTGCTTGAAGAATAAATAGGCTTATAGGCTACATGCATGACATGCCGAGGGGTATGTGTGTGTCACTTTAAGAACTTGAATGGAAAGTAAAAGAAGGGTTTGTAAACATACTGGAGAATCAAAAGTGAAAGAAAAGTGATCCTATGTGTCGCAATAGCCTCACCTGTATATTTGGCTATACTTCCAACAGGTTCGTATAACGTTTAGAATGTATTTGACTGTGTATTTGGCATTGTCAACTGGGTATTTTATTAGGATATGATTACGTTATATATTTGGCCCTCCATAAGGTTACATTTTGCCCTTGGACTAAAGAAATATAACTTCCACAGATACCGACTCATTTGCATTGACTATGGAACTACAAGAGATCACTTTTTCTGGCTGGACTGCGATTCAGGAGAAGAAGCTCCATGAAGGCGAGAATCCCAAACAAGAGAAAGTTTACACCATGTACCATGGCACGTATCTCAAGTTTGCCCAGAGTATCATCACTGGTGCGTTCCAGGTGGAATGTTGGGACCGGGGGTCTAGGTGAGCCGCAATATCGATAAGGCAAAGTGTTACCCGCTGAATGCTGACAAAAAGGACGCGATAGTGTTAAAGTTAAAGGTGCGGGTTAGCCTATTATTTTGCATGTGATATACGGTATAGCCTATGCTTAAAAAAACAAAAAAATAGGAGCCAGCCTAGTCTACTACGTTTCCTGATAGGCTGCAGTAATATCAAACGTGTCTGTTTCTGGTCTCCTTGTGTTGATGTCCTGCAGTAGCTAGCTTGCTAAATTGGCCCTTTCCTAAGCCATGGATGGAGATGGGCTTGTGGTTTTGACTTAATTCTCTGTACAGGTCAATGATTATGACGGCGATTCGTGGTCCTCTGTAGCTCAGCTGGTAGAGCACGGCGCTTGTAACGCCAAGGTAGTGGGTTCAATCCCCGGGACCACCCATGCACAAAAAAAAATGTATGCACGCATGACTGTAAGTCGCTTTGGATAAAAGCGTCTGCTAAATGGCATATATTATTATATTATCTAACCAGGACTAAGATTGAATCCTACTACACCGGCTCTGACGCTCGTCAAATGTGGCAGGGCTTGCAAACTATTACGGACTACAAAGGGAAACCCAGCCGCGAGCTGCCCAGTGACGCGAGCCTACCAGATGGGCTAAATGCCTTTTATGCTCGCTTCGAGGCAAGCAACACTGAAGCATGCATGAGAGCACAAGCTGTTCCATTGCACCATTGAGAGCATCCTGACCAGGGTAGTGAGTACAGCCCAGTACATCACTGGGGCCAAGCTTCCTGCCATCCAAATCACATTTTTCAAATCAAATCTAATTGTATTTGTCACATGCGCCGAATAAAACAGGTGTAGACCTTACAGTGAAATGCTTACTTACAAGCCCTTAACCAACAATGCAGTTTTAAGAAAAATAAGTGTTAAGTAAAACATTATTTTAAAAATCATTAAAGAGCAGCAGTAAAATAACAGTAGCGAGGCTATATACAGGGGGTACCGGTACAGAGTCAATGTGCGGGGTCACATGTTAGTCGAGGTAATTGAGGTAATATGTACATGTAGTTAAAGTGACTATGCACAGATAATAAACAGACAGTAGCAGCAGCGTAAAAGAGGGGGGGGGAACAATGCAAATAGTCCGGGTAGCCATTTGATTGGACCTATATGCTTGGCGGTGTCAGAGGAAGTCCCAAAAAATTGTCAAAGACTCCAGTCACCCAAGTCATAGACT